TGTCTGGTATTACCGTCTCGAAAGTAGATCTCATGCTCACAATTGGTTCGCGACTGACAAACCCTTTAGTAAATCAGCTTCTTAATCACTTGTTACGGTAGCTGAAGCAAAATTTTGTTCAATGGTACTGGTCTTGCAAAAATCCCCTGGCCACTTGGCCCACAGCGCTAAAGGTAGAACCGATGTACTGTGTACTCTCTTTGCATCAAACTTGACCTTCATAGCAGTAGCACAACAGCTTAAATCACCTCAGGATGTAGATACTCTATTTCTGAAGCAGGTTATTGATAGAAGGATGTCTTGATATCTCTAAATCGAGTGTACCCGATGGTATACCAACAGTTCTGCTCAAAACGTGCACTCCGGAGCTATGCCCTATTTTAACAAGTGCTTTCATTTCACATTTTTTACCAAACGATTTCAGTCATTGCGGTAAATAACCATTGTAATGGTGATAGATCACATCCACGAAATAACAGTAGTTCAACTGATGATATTTATTGTTTCTCACATACAGTCGGGCTTCCGCCACTGAAAGTCGTGGTTAGGCCGTGTTGCCAGCCATAACATGGGAAAAGTTTAAAATCGGAGTCTTTTTCAAAGCTACTATCTTACAGATTGCTCGAGGGACTTTACGAATAAATCGCTAACTTTCTCTAGCAGGAGCATAAAGGCTGTTCTTGACCGTAGTTACTCCGATACTATGGACTTAAAAGCTACCATCGCACAAAGCACAATAATATGCCTACCATTGTTTCTGCTACCTATCAATTAGAGACATATATCTATTGATGATAGCATTCGTAAACAGAATAACATCAACAGGGATGCCTTCTACACTTTTGGTGTAAATAAATTAGTTATCGAAATATGCAGAAATATTTAGTCCTCAACATAACTATTTGCAATGTTGATGTTGCTGCTTCATTAAGTTATTGACTATAGTACATTCCTAAAAAAGGTAAATCTTATATTTAAAATCGTATCGTAATCGTATATTAAAAAAGTGTATACTACAAACTTTACTTTACTACAATTTTGTCGTAGGAAAAAAAAATACATAAAAAGTTACTAACCTTAATATAAATACAATACCGTCTTTACCATAAGGGCACACGGGGCCCGTGCCCAGGGCCTCTATTCTCAGGGGGGCCCCGAAGGACCTACAATTTCTCTCACACATTTATTCCCAAAACATATTTGTCGGACACATTACTTTTTTTCGCAAATTAGTAACCTTATAAGAGGCTATTTACGTGGCATATACACAGATACTGTGGGCATATACTACGCTATTATATCGATGACTGCGGCTATTCCTACTGTACAAATCTATACTAATATTATAAAGCTGAAGAGTTTGTTTGTTTGTTTGTTTGTTTGAAAGCGCTAATCTCCGAAACTACTGGTTTGAATTGAATAATTCTTTTTGTGTTGGATAGTCCAGTTATCGAGGAAGGCTCACAGCTATATAACAGCACGCTACGACCAATAGGAGCAAAGATATAGTGGTAAATGTGTAAAAAACAGGAGAAATTATTTCATCTTTGAAGCCTTCCGTTGCGTGCGCCGTGAAAACGGTTCAAGATACACAAAAAATATGTATTACAGAATAATAGCTCTTTTAATGATCTAAAAACAGTCCGCAACAGTATATGTCTATCTTTTAAGATTAACTCACAAAAACCGTTTTTATGGTACCTAATTTGGTCGAAATAATTTGTTTAAGGTGTATCAACATAATAATATTAATCTTTATTCAAATAAACAAATAAATATGTTGTTGGTTAAGAGTACTTCATTGTGAATAAAAAAAACATAGGTTTTATCCTGAAAACTCTACGAGAACTCGACCATTCCGAAAACCCCGCAAGAACGGGAACTATGTGGGAAGAACCAAAAATCTGCCGGAAGTCACTATTCCACGCGGACGGAGTCGCGGCAAAAGCTAGTTATGAATAAAACAAGTCTAAGTTTACAGAATAGCACTATGACCATGGACGTTGTAACGAAACTTTACGAGTCTCTGATCAGTTATGCCAATACCGCACGCGATAATTTTGATCAGTACGAAACGGCTGCTAAAGAAAAAAATCCATATGCTGACTACAAAGACACATTTGAAAGAAAAAGATTTCGCAGCACACGCATCACTTTTTTTGAAGGATCATCAGAGACGGCACAGTTGAGAGGCAAAGGAAAGTTTCGTGTAAATACTTTCATTCCCATAATTGACACATTAATTACTCATTTAAAAAAACGTTCTGCAGCATACCAAGAAATTGATAGTCGATTTGGTTTTCTTTGTCAGTTAACAATAATAGAATTTGATGAGTTGACCAAAAAATGCAAAGAATTTGCAAAATTTTATCATGAAGACCTAAATGCAGATGAGTTTAAAACATAAGGTTTTCATTTAAGTCAATATTTAAAAAATATAGCAAAGCGATCGACGGATTTAAATATCTCAACCTTACATAACTTAATAAAAGCAGATAAATTGGAAGAAACTTTTCCAAACGTAGAAATTGCTACAAGAATATTCCTTTGCTTGATGGTTACTAATGGCAGTGGAGAGCGGTCATTTTCGCAGCTTAAGAGAATAAAAAATGAATTGCGAACAACAATGTTACAAGAACGACTAAGTAATTTGTCAATTATGTGCATTGAAAGTGATATCCTTCAAAACATTGACTTTAATGATATAATAAGAAGATTTTGCTCAACAGAAATCCCGAAAGAAACCATTATCGTAATCAGAACCAAAAAACAGCAGCATTCGAATATCATTAATGACGTATTTATAACATCAATAAATGATTAAACTTATTTTTAAAATGTTAGTGTAATTAGCGTTTTTTACTTTCCAAAAGGGCCTCTAATTCTGATATGCCCAAGGACCCCAGCTTAGTTGAAGACGGCGGTGTATAAATATCTACTAGAAATATTGTATTAAATCCAGTCATATTCTAGCACTATAATATAACAAAAGAACCTAAGAGCTTACAATTTAGACTTGCTTTTGATAACTTCATAAGAGTATCATATTTGGGTTTATCACTAAATAGTTTTAAAAACATATAAATTAGCTTAATATGCAGTAAATATTAAATAATATAAGATTTTATGACGTTGCCAAATATTTATAAAGCTTAAATATGTTTCGAAATACATTGGCTTCAAGTAGTAAATACAAGAGGTCTAGCTGTTTACGTGACATAAAAACATAAAAAGTTTTATACAGTGTAAACTCTATATAACGACACTCGATTTAACAACAAACTCTCTAAAGCGTCGAAATTGTTTGACTTTGGTTGGTTTAGGCTGTCTACCATACAATGACACACTGTACATAGCGGCACATACACTCTCAATAACGACAACAATTAAGTAATAAAAAGTACATTTTAAGTTGTTAAAATTAGTAAAAACTGTGCAGCTGTGTACGTTCCTTTGTCGCTTTGTTATCCTAGCCCGCAATAAACTCGACTGTCCCTATCATGCATACCGAACTTTCTAAGAAATTCGTTCTTTTGTTTACAATCACAAATTGCTTACACGTGTCGACGGTTTTGGAAACCTACATGGAAGTAGATGACTGCCTCCTTACAACGGCTTCACTCACAGACAAAGAAATTTTAGATTCAGTGAGAAAAACTGAGGATCAACAGCAAGGAGATAAAGAAGATGAGCCTGAGCCTCCGCCGAGCATTAAAGAAGCTTTGGAAGCAGCTAAAGTACTGGAAAATTATTTCTTTTATCACCAAGATGCCTCAATATCGCAAGATATTAATAAAATAACTAAAAAAATACAACAACAGTACTGGTGCAGCAAAAGACGTCAAACAAAAATAACTGACTATACGCAATAGCGTTCGAATAACATTCTTTTTTATGTACATAAGTACTAACACTAGTCTGAAATAAACTTTGTCTTTTTCTAATTCTGATTTTTCTTCTCTCTATTTAACGGCAACTCTTTATAACGCACTAAAATGCACGGTCCCTTCAGTGTCGTTATATAGAGTTTACACTGTACTTTCAATAATATTTCTCAACATATACTAATGTCTGTTAAATTATTTTATTCCCTTCTCCCTTCACCTTATGTACCTTATATAACAATATACCTGAATATTCATGTTCGGTCCTAAATAGTTCTTGATGTTTTATTCTAAACCATATGAAATTATAAAAATGCATTTATAGGATTTATAAAGAAGTAAAAGGTCTTGAAAATTAATAATGCAAATTTTTTATGTTATTTAGATTAAAAATTAAATTATCTACAAAATATATAATAAGTTTAATTTTTTCTATTTGTGCGCTGTGGCTTCACATTATTTGAGTTTATTTTTATATTCATAATTTTCCTCGAAATAACCTGTTTTATATGAAGTAAATATAATGGAAGATTCTTATTTTTTTTTGCAAAGTATGAATTAAAGGGATAATAAAATGAAAGCATCTGTGTCGGATTATTGATTGCCAGACCTGTGACATGCGCATTGAAAGCTCCATTCATGCATACTACTACCACAATTCTTTACACTGAACGTGTTTTACCCTTAATCTCGTTCGTAATACATTGCTTGTTATTTGTGTTAACATAAGAAAATGTTAGAATAAAACAAGCAATGGTCAATACCTATGAATATATTATCGAAACGCACACAATTGCTGTGTTTGTAGAGGTGACTTTATATTAAATGAAAGAGTAGGTGTGGATTGAAGTAGTGTGCGTAAATTGTGAAACAGAGGCAAATATTATGTTGCCTATTGCTACAACTGCTATCATGCTATTTTAGATCTTGTTGCTTTGTAATAAAGTGCAATAATATTGAATCTACTGAGTTTTCGTGATTTACTTTCTGTTTTAGCAAGGTAGTGGAGAACACAGATTCAACGTAGTTTCCACATTGTTGTCGTATACGTTACTCAGAATCACATTGACAGGTTTATCATTATACTTCGGGGTTTTATCAGGGAGGGTCGTGAAAATGACCGGAGTGGACGAAATACTAAATTATCAAAAGAATCCTGATGATGATTTCTATGGTTTACTCGGATGTGATGAGAGTTCAACTGTAAGTACATTTTATATTAAATATATGTGGATTTTAATTATACCATTCCAATTTTGTATTGATTTCGAAGTCCTATTTTGACCTCAATTAAAATCCTTGAGCTTGGCTGTTGACCCACATTGTCAAGGAGTTTCCAATGGCTATCAAGTTATTAATTAATACTCGTACAAATGTATGTAATGACTTGTTTTTTCATTCTTTATATTTGTCTTAGTTAATTGGTGCATCTGGTTTCATTTGTTCAAGGTTGTTCTAAATAGTCAGAATACATTACAATAATAATATTGATTAATAATTCATACAATGTTTTCAGGTAGAACAGATAACTGCTGAGTATAAAGTACTGGCTTTGCAATATCATCCTGATAAAAATGCTGGTGATAAAGATGCTGAAGCAAAATTCCAAAAACTAAAAGTATGTTATTATTTAATCGAATTATACATAAGAATTAATGAAATAATAATGTTCTAATATGTTACTAATGTTTTAGGAGGCAAAGGAAACTCTTTGTGATCCGATGAAGAGGGCCTTGTATGATAAATGGAAGCAGAGCGGTATTTCAATGGGTTATAAACAGTGGCTGGGTATGAAAGATCATGTCCAGCAGTCCATGCATTGGTCCAAACCCAACACTAAGGACCGTATGTTGGAAGATGAGTCCGGCCGTTCCTCGGGGCCATCCAGCTTGGGCCCGACTAATGCAGCTGCTCGTCGCGCCTCTGAGGGCGGAGCTGCTCTATGGGGACGTTGGGGCGCCAATCAAGAGCCCCCATCTGAGGTCATCTCCAAGTTCCGCAACTATGAGATCTAATCTCAGCGGCTAATATTTACTTCATTTGCAAGAGGTCTATGTGCCCTGAGCTCTTGTGTTTTATGTTATGTTTATAGGCTGTTAGAAGCTTGCCAAAACATTTATTTATATAGTTTAAATAGGTTGTATTAATTTGTAGAATGTCTTAAGGGCACAATTTATATTCATCAAGTCGGCTCAAATTAAAATGTTGCTCGAATGTCACTCGATATCTGAATGTTCAATGTTAAATGTTTTAAAACTATTTCAAATATTTCTATGTGTTAGAAGCCCCGTATAGATTTTAATTTTTAGTGTTTGACACAAATCTAGACATCCTTTAGCTTTAAGATGTGCACATTCCTATAACATATGAGTCTGATTATAACATTTCTGCTGTATAACAATATATAAAATTTATATGAATCTCTATGATATTTTGAAGAGTTATATTTTTGATCCTCTTTAGACTAATTATATTTTATCTGTGAGTATTACATTACCCACTGATTGGAGAAGGTGTATAACTGGAATTGTTGTGACTTAAGTACAGGGTATTGTTGGTGAAGGAAATATCTTATTTTTATTTTTTGTTTCTGCAACCTTAACAAAGATATTATATTATTGTTTAATGCTATCCTTAATTATCTTCTAAATAAAATAAATGTGTCCCTGATAGTTGTAAGTAGATATTAATATGTGTTAAATGTTTTCAACAGTATTTAATCTTTATTGGATGTTTTAAAATATATTGATGTTATATTAATAGAGTAGTGATTTTAAATCAAATATTTTATGTCTATGAGAATCTCTGAATAATTGTGACAATTTTATTTTAATGTTATTTAAATCTAAATGGAACAATAAATAAAATTTAACAACATGCGAACGATAAAATTTGTGTTTTATTTTAAAATATGATAAAAGTTCCCCAAGTAAAGATATTGCATTTGATAAATAATATTGAGAAAAACAGTACTTATGCTAAAAAAAACAACAATATGACGTCAAACGGTCGTAATATCAGGGGATTCCAAACATTCTACATGTATTAAATTCGGTAATTCCCATATTAATAATATTGGTGACAAATATGCGAAACACAGTATGTGTCATGGAAGTATAAATAAAAATAAATAATAATGACAATTATCCTGTCAAAAATTAACAACAAAATTCGAACTCTCAGATTTTATTTAAATTTCGTCATTATGCTTCTCGTTATACCAATTTTACTGCCAAGATTAATTTTTTGTACATAAAAGCTTATAATCCTTTAGCGACCTATGGTGGTGATATATTCTTTTTACTCTATATATGGACCTAGATTTCTGTAAAGGTTACCCAAGTAGTTAAGGTTAGTGCTCCAGTTACACAGATTCCAATCGACATGACATGGGCTACCGCGCACGGGCTACGTGAAAGAATCAATAGGACGACCCGGGCACCCGGCAAAGCAATAAACACCCATAGCTCAACACATAGGTACATTTATTAGGGTCATATGAAATTCACTCATGTTTCAAATAGATATTCAACATGCCATTTTATAATTGCAATTTATTATTTAACCTATATTAAAAAGAGAGATTTTTTTAAGAAAATGACATTAATAACATATGTTTTTTCTCTTTTAAGTAGACTAATTTTTAGTCAAAATTATATAGGCCATAAATTAAATTCAATTTCGCTTTAAAGCTATTAATGTATTATATAAACTACAGCAGCTTATTATATTAATAGGTGATTATCTTATTAAGCCAATTCACCGTGAATAGATAAATAAAAAATGTAAATCTTCATAATGTCTAATATATTTATGAATACAAGCGCCTTCTACTTTAATTTAGCAAAAACTTTAAATCACAGAACATCGAAATTGCTATTCGTAGGACGGCAAACTTTAATGCTATGTGATCATTTCTTTAAAGAAGGTCGTAGTTTTGTGTTTTCTTGAAAATGATGAATTTCTCTTTCTACACATATTACGAAGTAAAAGACATATTATGCATAACAACATGTATGTGTACTATAATTAAAACAATTTTGTACATGTTCATCTACAAAAACATATTGAATTGCATAGCAAGAGCTACTGAACAATAATTTTATTTATTTTAGTTTTATGTGGCCTAATAATTAAATGTAAAAGAGACGGCTAAGTACTTTTTGTATAAATTTATATGAATTAAAGCAGTTTTGGTTTTTGAATAACAACGTTATTTCTATGGCAGATAAGACTGTTTTTGAAAAACACTCGATTAATTATAACTAAATATCACAATATTTCATTTTTATTAAGCGATAGTATCACTTTAATTATAAGATTTAATATAATACAAAAATTTTGTCAAGGAATATTGAACGCTTAATTTAAATAAAAACAAGAGAAGAAGAATTAAATGACATATGTGAACATTATTCTGACATTATTATGTTTAAAAATATCCGATTACCGATTAATCAAGTAAGAATTAGGTCAAGACCTACTTCCAACAATGGCAGCCGAATTGAATTGAAAAATATTGAAATATAATTTAATTATTGGAATTAACTCCAGTGTATATGAACAAAATATAAACTTACTTTTCAATACTTTTTACCGTAATATTGATCGCAAGATAATGGCATTGACTTTTATAAAAATCTTAGACATCAAAAAATTAGTCAATTGATGGCATACACATACATAGTACAACATTATTTTTAATAAACGAGACTATTGATTCTATGAAAAAGGTAAATTGTTGTCATGGGAGCGTAGTTTGAATAAGGCAGTTATAACTTTTCTGATAAAAGCTTCCATTATCGAGTTTGCTTGTGAAATATACCCAGGCGCAAAGTTGTAATGGTCATTTGTAACTTGCTTTTTAGTCAGAGTTTTATACATATATATAATGAAATATTTAATTACCTTGATTTAACTTATTAAATATCTTACATAATATGTTATGCTCTAAATTAATACATATAAGTAGTATTCATATTAAGTAATATTTCATGTATATTGATATTATTTATAATAATAGTTTCAACAATATTGATATTATTATTTTTTATCGAATGTTGGAGCGAAATAGAACTATCGTACGTAAATATTGAGACGACGAATATGTTTCGCGTATGACATTAACAGCATGTATTTTATGAATTAATTACAGACAACTTTAAACAAATAACAATTCTAGTACAAACTTATTCCAGTAACAGCTAATTTTATCCACAACGACTATAAGAACCTATCAAGTCCCACTTTACACCAACAGGTGGTGTTCGAAAAGACTACCATCTTATATTATCTCTAGCAAAAGTCACTAACCTTCATTTTAGGTTATTTTATAATCTGCTTTTTTTTTGCTGTTTGTTTTTTATGGCAGAGGGGCAAACTGGCAGACGGTTTACCTGATGGAGGTATTTACCGTGCCCAAAGACATCCGCATCATAGTTTTGCGGATGCGTTGGAACCCTTATTTATGGAAAAGGGAGAGGGAAGGGTAGGAACAAGGAAAGGGAAACATCTATTTAAGATTACTTCACGCCAACCTTCTGTGAAAGGATGGTACATACTTCCCTGGTCGATCCAGCCCAGATTCGGATAGATAGAAATCGAAATGAATCAAGTCCCAATCATCATCGAAAAAAGTGTTCCCAGCTGATAGTTCTCCAGTTAATTTATGATGCTGTCTCTGTAATTACAAGACATGGTATGCTAATTAGTAATTACTTAAACACCAAACCCTACAAGGCACCTTGTGGCCGTCTTATATTCCTGTTAAGAAAACATGATTACGAATTAAAACATAAAATAAAAAGGTTTTTGCAGAAATAGAAACCTATTTTGTATAGTATGAAAAGTTAGATAAGGGGTAAAATATTAGAAATAAAAAAACTGGCTATAACTTTTGATTAAAAAAATGTGCTCATTGCGTCTTAATTTGTATTATGGGTATTTAATGTCCGGACTTCGAAACTCTAACAGGCTACAACAAAATGATTAATTGATAACTTTTAAGATATCCTTTACAATGCATCCTTTACAATGCAATTATTTAATTTAAAAATAATAATTGAAAACTTTATATAAGCAAAGATTTTTAGCTATTTCGCATCTCCATTATTTGTATTATATCCAAAAGATTGAAATGAAATAAGTAACACCAAAGTAAAAAACAAAGACGAGATTTGGCCTACAAAGATTGTGTGTTCGTTCCTCGTAATATTTAATTTCAATCTAAATTACTTCTCATAAAAACCAAACCGCTTTAGGTCGAATTGAAAACAATTTGTTTTGTCTAACGATATTTATTTCAACTCCGATCCAACAATATTTGTATTTTGTAAACATAATGTGTCTTCAAAAACACTTGTAGAATAATACACAACGTGAAGTCAGGTATTGTTTAAAAATACCATAGATTCTTCTTTGGAAAACAACAGCGCGTGCGACGTTCGGAAGCAAACGTCATTTGTAGCGACAACATTCTGTTTGACATTACATGTTCATGCTTATACTTATTGTGGATGTTTACAAGACACAATAATTGACGACGAAATAGACCATAATTGGAATATTTTTTAACAAAATCTATACTAATATTATAAATGCTAAAGTAACTCTGTCTGTCTGTCTGAAACGCTTTCACGCCTAAACCACTGAACTGATTTTAATGAAATTTGGTACGGAGATAGAGTTGGCCTTGAGAAAGAACATAGGATAGTTTTTATCTCAGACTTTTGAAAGGTTTTCTTGGAAATGCGATATAATCGAACTCCAGCCGGCGAAGCTGCGGGAGGAAAGCTAGTATCATATAAAATGAAGCCCTTAAAAAACATGTTATAAGAGTAAAGTTATAAGAACTTAAGTTACAAAATTTGTTTGTCCGTTTGAACTATTTGAATCAACATAGAAAATGAATAGCCGTCTAGTTATTTAGCGTTTCGTACTTTAATTAATAAAATAAGTTATTTATATCTGCACGTTGTTTGACTGTTGTCAATTTGGCTACTGATTAGACTCTTTTCTAAAGAACGAGTAGAAGTCACTGCATCTAAATCACTCATGTACCTACTTATAAATATGAAAATATCAATTCGAATCATTCTGTATAATTTCAAATCTATTTTAATGTTCAGACTGGTCTCTAAACAAATAGTCCTGTAGAGGATTTTCATTAAAATCTTGAAATTTGACCAGTAATGTAGTATCTAATGCTCAAAAAACGCAACACCGTAATATTGTTGTTGGCTCACAATTAAGAACAGAGTTGAGGCACAATATTATTTTTTTTTGCTAATAAACACTAATTAAAGTATTTAATCTTCGACTCTGCCAGTTTCAATGTTATCTTATTCTACACTAGTCACTACTAGGTACTATTTAGTACTTAGTACTTTCATGATTGTTTATTTATATAACCTATGAACTTAGTTAAGGTAATGGACATCGCAAATATTTTTTTCAGTTCAGTTCATCTATCTGTTCGTTTTTATTACGTAACAAACAATTAACAAGTCATCGCTCCATCTTATGGACAGAAGTTGTCGATTAATATCATAAATAAGTATATCTAAAGCCCCATTGCGTATACGCTTTAATTTAGGGACTGTATGTGATCTATATTACCATCCCATTGATTAATTCTTGTTGGATAAGTTTGTCTAATCCATTCACTTTAGGCTGAAACACATGTATATATGTGCACTCTTTTTTCCACACTGCACACTTGCCTTATATCACTCGATGCTTATAAGGGTAACGTTAATTTTATATTTTTAAAAGGAACCCCAAGCTTTTTGAAAATAAATTAATGTCCTTTATTTATCACCTATATCTTTATTATGAACTAGCTCCACCCCGCGGTGTTACCCGTGGATTTCCGGGATGTAAAGTAGCCTAACTAGCCTATGTGTTATTTCTGGACGTCAGCTTCCTGTATACAAAATTTTATCAAAATCGGTTCATCCGTTTGAGCGTGAAGAAGTAACAAACATACAGACACACTCACATACTTTCGCAATTATAATATTAGTAGGATAATTTAAAATAATTCTTCTCTTTGGTTTGCTGTTTTATACAAACATGTTTTTTTAATTTTTTTAAAGTTTTATTTATTTTCAACTTTTTATTTCAGCATTAAGTACTAGATGTGCGTAGTTTAATGTTTTTGTAAATCATCGTTAATTCTGTGACTACTATTAGTAATATCAATTATTTTCGGAACTATTTCTGTTATAAGGTGGTAGAGCCTAACTGTAGTTATGTAACTACAAATCGAACATGGGCTGGCTCGACCGGGGAAGCACCACGATCTCATAGAAGATCGGCGTGTAGTAGTTTTTAATGGCTGGGTTTCGTTCGATGAGTGAGAGAGCCGGTTGCCCTTTCCCTATTCCAACCTCTTCCTTATTCTTAAAAAACCAATGTTGCCAACAGAGATGTTGTGGATGTTCATGGGCGACATTGATTACTGCCCACCAAGTAGGTTGTGTGCACGTTTGCCACCTTTCACATGATAAAATATCATATATTTAAGGCAGCAATCGCGCAAATTACCCACTCCCTCAGCAGGGAGACTAGAGAGAGTTACAAACACACAAACCAATAAACCAACATATAAGTGAAGCTAATAAAAAATGTATAAAAAAGGAAATAAACTGTTAGATTTGAAAGGAAAAGAAAAAAAGAGTAATTAATACTTGAAGCATCCTCACTCATTGAATGAATTAAGTACAACTAGTAATAAAACCCATTTCTCTAAGAAGGTGCTAATTCTCTACAAATTCAGTCTGTCTCTTCGTAACTTTTATTTCATAACTTCCAAAATTAAAATTAAACTAAAAAAATCACATTACTAAGTGATAAGCTAAGTCGGATATCTATACAAAGAACCTACATTCATAAACTATAAGAACATAAGTGTCATTTCTATATATACAAGAAAATGTTAGTAGATACGTAAGAAATAGTTTTTTTTCTTAAAAAATCCGAGAACTGTTAGTAACCTAGGCGACAAACTTATTTAAAACATTTATGAGGTGGCCTTACTAGTAAAGAATAAGAACTTTATGGGTCAAAAGCCTTAGCAACTTTTATCTCCATGGTGGCCATATGAGTAATATAATGGGCCATTAAGTGGTATCAAGGCGCGAGACTCGAGGATTCCTGACACTGGATGTTTACATTTGATCTCCGGTTGCATCGTTAGTCGACGACAGCCCGCACCTTACCAGTTAGTGGCTAGCTTTTGGACACGAAAGTGAAGTGCTCAATACTGAATACGTTGATATGCGAAATTAATCACATTTATTAATCGAAATTAATAAATTAATCTATCTGTAGCATACACGAAAAAAAATTGGTATTTAAAAATGGAATAGAATTCATACTTTTTATGAAAAAAATATATTTAATCTGTGATTAATACGGATTAAGTATCCGATACAGAGGTAAGACTTTCGTTTTTATTATTTGGAAATATTTAAAAATAAAATTACCAAAGTATATGTAGCTTCGGAAACTTTTTTTAAATACATATATTTTTTTCGTAAATAGGTAATGTATTACTATATAAAAGTGAGATACCTAAGTCCATAGTGACAACCATACCTCAAAATTATAAGAAACCCACTCGATAAATTTCATTGGCATGCTTTATTACAAAGTGGGTATTAAGTAACCATTATTCTGTAAAGAAAGATCAATTTATACTTTTCATGATATTTTAACATTTCTATTCATTTTGACATTTACTTCTGAAATTAAATCATACGTTTTTTTTAGACTGGGATAAAGACAGTAGATAATATAATAGAACAAACAGTTACTTTGAGAAAGGTTTTTATAATTCTTTTGTTTATTAAGGAGCGTTTATTATCCGAGGAATTAAAAGTAACATGTTTAAAAAAAGGCAGTTTAAATAAAATCATACCTGTAAGGATGGGTTGCGATCTAATTATATTTATTTGAAAAACCGGTAGGATTTCATTACAATGTTTCAAGTCGTTCTAATCCTTCCAACACAGGTTTTAGTGAATTATTACCACAAGTTTGTAGGTTTACTTCATAAATCTTCGCACATAATAGTATATCGATGTCGGTTTTTGAAAGGAAAACTGGATACCCTTCGTATACCGTAAGACAATACGAACCTGTTGTAAACGTATTAGTTTTTTCTCTATTTTTATAAAGTTATGTTTCTGCATTGGAAAAATATATGGATTAAGCCGATTAAAGTCTACTTAGTAAGTATGTGAGATATAGTCTAGTATGTGCGAGAAAAAGGTCAATGTGGCTCAAATATTTCTTAGGTACACTTTATGGATTAACCATTTTAATATTTATTAATTCACTGCAAAAATAATAGTCGAATATGCAGGGAGGTATCTGTTTTTTCATTTCAGTGTCTTTATATAACTTTTAATCCAACTTCAAACAATTGAAATTTCACATTTTTGTAGTAGCAACACACATCTTATAAAAATCCCACACCTTTTTTTGTACTAACATTATCATAACTCTTCATTCTTACCTCACACTATGTAAATTCTCTATACGCTTTATTTTTTATTTCTTAGAAAGTCTATCAAATGATTATAAGTAGATAGATATATCAAAAGTTTAAAAAAAAAATCTATTCGCTAGAAAGTAAATGTCGTAACTCTTTTTTAAGCTATCCTTTAAATATTGTCTCCAATTATATAAAAACGAAAAATGATTTTATTTCTCCATACATTATGTAATGTATGTACATGTTACTTATAAGTAGAATTCCATACATTAACATTTTCCATGTATCCGTAAAAATCGGTACCAGGTTAGGTTTCCATGAAAATGGAATCCATTATGGCAACACGAGACATACCATTGACCTTATAACAAAGAGCAGTTATTCTTTGACAATGAAAACCAATCCGCGACATCCAAGAAATATAATAATTGTCCGTTTATAACTTCCTTCATTTTAGAATTAGCTGGCGACGATCGATTTATTTGGATATGAGATTGTTTCATAGCAAACACAGTAGTGTGCAATGCTAAGTTCTAACATGCATGTACTTACTTTGTTTGTTCTGGAATCTTCTCGCTCACTCCGCAGCCGGCTCGTGTGTCGAAAATATTGGGAATGTTAGGGTAATGTATATACAACAGTAATGTTATGTACAGTATATATGTAATTCTATATGTAACATTTTTGTTGTCTTAAATTGCTCTCTGCTCGATTTCAACAAGAGTCAACATTCATTCAGCCGACGTGGATGAAAATGAAGAAAAAGTTAATATTTGATTTTTTATATTGTAATTTATTTTTTATTATTAACATATATTAATATTAATATGTTCTTATTATATGGCATAGTTTAGTTCTGGACTTACACGTCCATATTAACATAATTTAAATAATATTATATGGCAGTTGTATCAAAAGTTGTACATATATATTAATATAAAATAATTTAGACAAGATGTAAAGGAAAGTCCCGACATATTGAAGGGAAACTAACAACTAACTAAATGCAAAAATAATGGCAATATTATTAATGTTAATTGCATTTCATAAAAAATAGTGAAGTACATAACATTATAAAAATAAATTTCACTTAAAATTAAACAAACCGATTATAGATAAATAATTTGTTTCTATGACAGCCTCTTTTGATATATTTATATTTTAATAAATTATTGACTGTCAATATGTAATGGCAACATTTAACGTGACATTATTAGTGCTGTAAACATTATTATTATAATTACATTATGTAGATTAGGTTTAATAGTAACACCACTTCATAGTAGGTTAATAATTGATTGGAACTTAGTATATGTAGATGTTTTGAAGCTCATTTTGAGCAAAATTATTATATTTTATACTCTTTTAGTTTAATATTAGCTCTGTTATTTATTTATCTGAAGAATTTTTCAATTGGTTGCGGTATCGGCCGTATGATGCTTTCCTTTTGGTATTCTAGATTGCAAGGTCGTATTAATTCTTGGCCGCCTTGATGTATCCACTTGTTGCAAACTGTAAGAGAAAAATATATATTTAAGATAAAGAAATAAAATGCAAACAATAGAAAGTTACTCATGTACTTTTAAATTTTTTTATATAAGAAGATATTCATTACTGTAGAGAAAAGTTTGTGAATAATATTTTCACTTTCAGTTCAGTTCAGTTTCACTGTATAATTATTTCAATGTTTGTATTATAACAATTTTAAGTGTATATAATTTAAATAGTTATAGGATTAAGTGCTCTCTATTTTTGTTTTTTGTTTTTTTGTCAACATTCACAGGATTTAACTTGAAATGTATCTTCTAAGTCCTATTCTACAAAATTGGAGTTTAGAAGAAAACATGGGACTTCTCGAATTTTCTATAGGATCTTTAATAACATTTAAGGTATACCTGTAAATAAAGCATAAACACAAAACTAAAAGATTATTTTAACATATATCCACAATTGTATCTAGTGCTTCAGCCTAATGAAATTTATTGATTTACTTTAAATTTATACTTATTTTGTGATTCAATTTTGAATTTAACAATTTAATAAACTTTTGTTAAATTTTCTTACTTTTTTTATAAATATTTGCTATTCATTTGAAAGAAGAAAAAGAACTATTGTTCATGAGCCATGATGCTTTATTTGTGGCGTTACTTTGGATGCATTTATTACTAACTACAGTGTAATATAAACAGCTTGAATGAAACTAATATTTTCAGATTACTTACGTACGTATTGTTTTATTATTATTAAATCTACATACTCCCAAGGTTTCCGCTTCTTTTGCAGAAAGCATGATCAAATTTGTCTGCCGATGATCATTATTACAAAGTAACCAAAACGTCGAGAGTATGTAGTTAAAATTATAAAATAACGCCTAGTATTCCAAAAATATTACTTTCAATTTAATGAATATTCTCAAAGGTCTTAGATCTCATTATAATCAGTCTGTTATAGAGATAATAAGATTTATGACAGTCTCGAAAGTCTTAGATGTCATTATTATCAGTTTGTTATAGAATATAGATTATATATTTTATGTAACAGACCCCATTTAGAACCCCTCAGTACAGGGCAGGCTGCGTGTCGTGTGGCGAGGTCTCCTTCGCCAGACGGGTGCAGATTCAGCCAGAAGACGGCAGAGCCTCGCCGCGGGAACACACTCAGACCGAGCTCTGTGAACACGGTCGCCCCGCCTTGAGCCACGTCTGACATCTGGAATAATGTGAATTACGTTTAGACACTTGTTATTAGTATTTGATTAGAAACTTTTTATTAATGTGAATATTGTTTAAAAAATTAGTTAAAAAAAAAGTCTCGTAAATTAAATTGCTTTTGCTTTGTTTTTATAAATTTACTAACCAATTTATTTATTAAGTTTAATTTGTAATGAACCAACTCTATATGGATCTATGTAATATGGTCTTTAATAAGTGATTATTATTATTATTATTAAACACTTTTTATTGATATGTGAACATTGGTTAGAAACTTTTTAATAATTTTTGAATATTGTTTAGAGACTTTTTATTAATATTGAAATATTATTTTGAATATATGTTTTTTTTCTATGAATTAATTATGTTTTAAATTTTGCAGTGGTATTTTGTTAGATGACACTGAATACAGAACAAATAAATATTGATACTAATTATGTTTGTACTTGAACATATCCTTATAATACATAATTTGGATATTAAATTAATGCTGAGCTACTATTTGAGTTTTTTTAAATATACTTTATAAGGACAACTTTAAAAATTTTTCAAACACATACATGTATGCTACAAAATAGTTTAGTGATTATATTAATTAAAACAAAATCAACTCACGTAAAACAGAACTGTAGCTATGCGGTTGCCATTGAACTTCTCAAATGCGTTTTCTTCTTTCTGTAACATTACAAACACATATACATATATGAGACGAAACCTTTCATCATTCTATGTATTCACTATGCGGGTGCCGGGTCCATCGTTTCAGGGAAATCAGGTTTAATAGTGCCTAGGACTTGCGACCCAGGTGTAGGTTTAAGGGGCCCCTAATTATACAAATTTACTAATCACTTAAATTCATTCTATAAGAGATATTAAGTAGTTTTTCAATCAAAATGCTTCCCATATATCAAACACATAACTTCTTTATTTTCAATTTGGTTACGTTAGGTTATATTAGTTTGGTATATATATATATCAAACTAGTATTTTTCGGATGTCATCCCATCTGCCCGTTATCACGGTTGCTGCAAAGTAGCCGAAACGTTTAGAGTATGTAATTTTTATCAAAAATAAAGCACGCGTAATATATCCGAAGCAAATTATAGTCCGTTAGACTTAAACTGAGATTTGCATTTGTGTGAGTGAAAGTAAAAATAGAGTTAGACAAAAAACTTTTAGAATTTAATTTTATTATATTTTAAATATATACATAACAAAGGTGCTATAAAATAAGCAAAACTTGCAAAAGGCCAGATGGAAATATTATGAATATTATAGAAAAATAATTATTCATAAATAAAAATTTTGAAAAAACTATACAAATTCTTCTTCACTTGACATTGCGTTTTCAACATTTGATTTTTGCTACCAGTACAAAGGGTGAAGTGCGGGGCGGAGTAAAAGCAGAATAAACCGGTTCAAAAATAGAAAAGAACGTGGTATTCAAAAATTTTCACATCACCTACACTATCCGTGTGCACTCACACAAATTCAAAGATCAGCTTAAATCAAACGCACTATAGTTTCATTTAAATGATTAAGACTCGCGATAATTTAATATCTCATTATATACGAACCCTAGCGAAGTCAAAGTGTGGATCATAATGTCCTCCAATGCCGTAGTTAACCACTTGTAATTCTTCAGCGGTTGTCATACTAAGGCCTGTTATATGAGCCACTCGTCGTGATACTCGAGCTACAATCGCTGATTCCTCATCTTTGAGCCAAGCTGACTTACTGATCCTATAGTGAGCGGGAACTAGCTCGCCGGTCGCCGGGTCGTGTACGGTCGCACGACGGAACTGCAAGTGTGATAATATAGATTATAGAATAATGGAAAATAAATAAGTAAAAGTTTGAAGTAAAAATAAGAGCGAAATATTTTGTTTTCATTGAGATGGCAATATTTATTTTACATGTTAAAGGAATTAAACTTATCAAGCACCTAATGGTAATTTTACTCTCTGATACGAAATCTGAATCTGAATAATTTTCGACATTTTTTTTTGTGCCATAATTTTTTAATCAAAGTGTTTTTGTTTTTAAAGACTGTAGCTATCCGAATTTAAAGGGATGTTACAGTATAGCGTAAACATTATCAATTCTTAAATTTGAATAAATGAATTCCTCTTAATAGTACTATGAATATGTGTATTATTGTAATAAAATTATCAAGAAACTACCGAAATATACAAAAGTAAAATTTAAAAGAACTATGAATTTTTGTAAATTAATTATATAATATATGTAGTATACATATAATATGGACCATATTTAAACTCACCCTTGGTTGAGCTAGTCTTTTTATATAATCAATTTCATATTCGCTCAGAACATCGTTAAATACTATAATATCTGGATTCCTGTACAAGTACTCCATTTTGACGGGCGCTAGTTTAAGGAACGGGTGATTTTCTGTCATGTAGCGGCATGTGAGACTGTAACAAAAAGAAAATATATTTTATATACATAACCCTGTTGTGATAGATTTATATACCTATTCATTATTATTATAGGGTATATAAAAATGGATTTTCGTTATATACACATATACATATAATAGATTTCCACCTATATATTGACTCATCACGATATGTCTGGAACCATAAGGCGTAGCGACTTGAAATTTGGTAGGATTATTCCTTTTGCCGAGTATAGGTCAGCTAAGAACGGATTTTACGAAATTCCACCCACAAGGAGGGTTGCGGGGGGTAAACAATGAAAAATACGCTTTCACGCCTAAACCGATGAACTGATTTGAATGAAGTTTGGTACAGATATAGAGTTGACCTTGAGAAAGATCATTGGATAGTTTTTATCCCAGACTTTTGAAAGGTTCTCTTGGAAACGCGATATAACCGAACTCAACGCGGGTGGAAAGCTAGTATATTATAAAGAGTTACATTTTATTTATTTTTTTATATACCGTAAGAAATAAGATGACAATACAATACCAGTAAGAGCGTTAGTAATGTTCTTTGGATATTGACTTATTATTATTTACATTTCTCTTTTATATTCAATTTTCTTTAATATTAAGAACCTTAAGGAAGCAACGTCTAATACATTTAATGTAGTCCATAGAAGATGTACAATAGTGGTGAAAAGTCAGTGGTAGCCTAGTGGTTAAAAGGTCCGCCTCTCATACAAGAGGGCGCGGGTTGGATCCTGGCCCGGGCAAGTACCAATGTGATTTTTCCGAGTCATATGTACTTTCTAAGAATATATAGACATTACTGATTAATGCATTCCCAAAGAGGGTTGATGTCAAGCAGGAGTCCAGTCGTAAAAACAAATAGCCAAAACTATTGACAACATGTAAGGCAGACCCTGGCTAAAGCTGGGAAATTGCCAGGTAGAAGAAGAAGATGTAATATAATTATAAAACTGTAATATAAAAATCTATTCACGTTTTAGTTATTTCCGGCGGTAATTCCTTTTCTCCGCGGCACAACGCTTCATATGACTGTCTCTCTGCGCTGTATGAGTTTGATCTTGACTCTTTAGCTTGTGGTTCGTATTCAATATCTGGTTCACCGGTGTCCTGAAACAATAAATTTTATTAATATATCATTGTCAAGTATTTAATTTAAATGAAACTAATATTTTTCGGATTATACTACGAATATTTTATTATTTATAATCCGAATTATATATTTGAAAAGTAACCGAAACGTCGGATAATGTAGTTTCTAAAATAATAATATACGCGTCCGAAACATATTAGTTTCATTTAAATGAATACTCGCAAAAGTCTTAGATATCATTAAGTATTAAATTTAATTTAAGATAAATGTACCCCTTTACGCCTTTTCTTTGCCTTCAATTCTTTCTCTTGTAACGCTTTCTGGTAGTGCGGCAGATTGCCCGCAGCCCTGCTGTGTTTTGGTTCAATCAGCAATAGATTCTTAGTCCATTCTATTGCGCTCTTAAGATCACCTAGAAACAAAATGATTTGCAATAATTTAACTTTATTGTAGTATGAGAGTAATAGAATTTTATATTACTTAGAACAATTAAAAGACAACATTTCATCATGATATAGAATAAACAAAAATTATTTTCTTTTGTCGTAATTAACTTAATGTTAACGAATTATTCATTAAATTATTTATTTATTAATTATTATATTATATGATATAGATAAAAAAAATATTAAATCGTCATCAGCCTATCAGAGCCCACTACTGAGCAAAAGCCGCTTCTCACATGGAGAAGGTTTGAACATTAATCACCACGCTTACACAAGACGGGTTGGCGATTCAAAAACTTATAATTGTAAAATTATAAGTCCAGCTTTCCTCACTATGTTTTCCTTCACAGTCTGTTAGTCGTGTATGAATACTCTTAGAAAGTACATATTACTCGGAAAAATCACATTGGTACGTGCCAAGATCGAACGCGCGCCCTCATACATGAGAGGCGGACCTTTTAACCACTTTTTTTTTTTTTTTTTTTTTTTTTTTTTTTTTTAACGAGGAGAATCTTTGAAAGACTTCCCGCCGCGGGGGAAAACACGGCGGGGGCGTGTGGGATTTCCACCCACTAAACTCCTCGGCGTTCTCTGCGCTGTGCGTAGGCTAGTGAGCGGGAACGGCAAGCCATACTTCCGCTCACTACGCACGAGTCCCATGGACTCCGTCTTCGGCAGGGGTCACAGTGGCTTCACCACACTTCCCCTCCGACTCCAGAGCAGCGTGCCGGGAACGCCAAGCACGCCACTCTCACTCCAGCCTATGTTGCCCGGACGCCGGTTCCCCACCAACGCCCGGAGGCTCCTCTCACTGGGGAGGCATTTGGCGAGCGTAGGCCCGCTGCCTTCTACCCAGCCTTCGTCGACGCAGGGGCGCCGAGGAGGGGTCATCTTCCCGCGCTCGTTCAGCGGCCTCTTTCCGCGAGATGACGCACTCGCTGAACCGGACCACCGCCTCCCAGGCACTCTCGCTACCGACCATGGCCTGAACCACTGCCGGCAACGAGAGATCTGCGCCAACCACCGCGGTGAGCTGGCGACGCTCTATCGCCCACGCAGGGCACTCCGCCAAGGTGTGATCGGGCGTGTCATCCATTCAACTGCAATGGTGACACGCCGCGGTCGGCTCTCTTCCGACTATGTGGCACAGATACCTCCCAAAGCAACCATGCCCCGAGAGGATCTGCACCAGCCGGAAGGTCAAGGAACCGTGTCGGCGGTCCACCCACTCTTTGAGGAGCGGGCGAATAGCCTCCACGGTTCGCAACCCGGCCACTGGCTCAGAGAGCTTCCGCCTCCACCGGCGAAATAGCAAGGCGAGCGCGGAGCGCCGCCAACCTTCCACCCGATCCCGGTCCGGACTCGTTCCCCGGGATCGCTCTCGCGCACGCTGGTGGTACACCTCCGCCAGAACCTGGGCATCCAGTTCCCAGGGAGGCGTCCCAGCCAGCACGCAAGCCGCCTCATGTGAGACAGTGCGGTATGCTCGTACCACCCTCACCGCCATGACGCGCTGCACCCTGTGCAGCGCAGCCACGTTCGGCCTTGTGAGGGCACCGACCCACACTGGAGCTCCATACAGCGCCATCGAGCGCAGCACACTGGTGTAGAGACGCCGGCATGCCACGCTCGGACCACCGATATTCGGTAGGAGCCTTCCGAGAGCGTTCGCCGTCCCGAGGAGTTTCGGGACTAACCCGCGAAAGTGCTCCCGGAAGTTCCACCTTCCGTCCAGAGTCAGCCCCAGATATTTCATCCGGGGACTGAGCTCGACGCGGACGCCGCAGATGTTCATGCTGGCGCCCGTCGGAGGTCCTGCTCGAGGGCGGTGGAACAGGAGGGCCTCGGTTTTCTCGAGACCCACCCTCAGCCCGAGCATTTCTATGCGCCGTACGATTAAGGCGGTTCCCGCCTCGGCAAGCGCCTTCGCCTCTGCCAGGTCACCGCCTCGGGCTACAACGAGCGTGTCGTCCGCATAGCAGACGACGCTCAGCCCGGTCGGGAGGGCACCGCGGAGTACGAAATCGTACCCGAGGTTCCACAGGAGAGGTCCGAGGACCGACCCCTGCGGAACACCGCAGCGCACCTCGTGACGATGCACCCTACCGTCTACCCCCACAAACGAGATCTCCCGTCCGCGGAGGTAACTCCCGATTACCCGCCGAATATAGTGCGGCAGTCTGTGGTAACAGAGGGCCTCTTCAATGACGCCAAAGGGAAGCGAGTTAAACGCGTTGGTGATGTCAAGGGACACCGCCAACGCAACTCCGCCCCTAGACACGGCGTCATCAGCAAGGCTCCTCACCTTCAGGATGGCGTCTATTGTAGACCGTCCACCCCGAAAACCATACTGGCACTCGGCCAAATCGGGTCCATCCCTGCTGATGTGTCGGACGACACGGGACGCGAGGATCCGCTCGAAGAGCTTCCCCGCATCGTCTAGCAGGACGATGGGACGATATGCAGACGGCGAGTCTGCAGGTCTTCCTCCCTTCTGGAGCAGGACGAGCCTCCCCTCTTTCCAAGGAGATGGAAAGCGGCCCGCCCTTAAACACCCATTGAGGATCCCCAAGTACCACTCAGCCAACTCGCCCAGGGCGAGAGCCAGGACGCATCCAGGGACGCCGTCCGGCCCAGGGGCGGTCTTTTTGGCTCTGAGTCGCGACAGGGATCTCTCGAGCTCTTCCAGGGTTACGGCCGGTATGGCTTCCGACCGGTCCAACTCGCGAGGATTGCCTGCTGGCATCGTGTGTGCGGCCTCCGTTGGGAACAACGTGCACACGACGCTTCGCAGGAACTCTGGCTCCAAACTCTCCGTAACCGGGGCGGTCTGGGCCCGGATTTTGTTTCGGGCACCGAGGTACGGACGCCCCCACGGGTCATTGTCTAGACGCGCGAGTAATTCTTCGCGAGCCGACTCCTTTGACCTGCTTATGGCCTGCCTAAGTACTCTCTTCGCCTCATTATAGACGTCACGAAGCCTGCTCTCGTCGGCTTCGTTGCGAGGATGCCGCCTCCGTTGACGAGTGTACTGGCGTCTCGCCACCGCGCATGCTGTACGTAGCTGCGCGATCTCTGACGTCCACCAGTACACTTGGCGTCTGGGAGGGCGCTGCGCGGCGCGGGGCATCGACGCATCGCAAATCCGCCATAGGCTGCGGCGGAAATTGCGTGCCTCCCCATCCACCTCAACGGGCTGCTCAACCCGCATGGTCCAGGCCTGAACGATTGACGCCTCTGTCGCCATGTCTCTCTCAAACTTGGTCCGAGACCAACGGGGGAACTCCGAAGAGTTTCCACCAGAGCGATGTCGAGGCAAAGAGCCCCCTTGTGGAGCCACCTCAAACCTGATGAAAGAGTGGTCCGACAACGTTTCCTCCCCAACCAGAACACGCCAGCCACGTACTCGCGTTGCGACCGCAGGAGTAGCGAACGATAAGTCCACTATGGACTCACCCTGTGGTCGTACGCACGTGGCGGCATTTCCCCGGTTGAGGAGAGTTAGGCCGAGCGTTGTGGCCCACTCCTCCACCAACTCTCCGCGAGCGTTCGTGGCTCGGGAATGCCACAAGGTGCTGTGGGCATTAAAGTCACCGAGAACAATAACTTGCCTCGGCGACGCACGCCTCACCTCAGCCCCGATTTCGTCGAGAAGTCTTTCGACCTCTGCGACGGGCCTACTCGGAGCGAGATAGACACCCACAAGCACCAAGTCGCCCCACCGAGCAGCGACGTATCCTTCCCCCCTACCGAGAACAGTAGGGGGAGGACATCGCCCACTCGACGAGACCACCACCACCACGGACCGAACCACATCCGTCACCCAATTCGGGCGATCGGGGACGTAATAGGGCTCGCAGAGCACCGCCGCGTCGATGGACCACTCCGCCAAAGCCTGCAGACAAAGATCCTGCGGACCAGGGGAGTGGTTCAGGTTCGCCTGAAGAAACCTGATGGGTGTGTTGGCCATTATAGGTCCATAGATAACACCTCAGGCACGACGGATTTCTGGGTTGGAGCCAAGGTTTTCGGGCGCTCCTGACCTTTCCTGCTCCTGGGTGGGTGGCAGTTCCTGCCCCCCACGACGTGATTGGCGGCGACGCCAGCATCCGCACAGATCGGACAGTGAGGGTCCGAAGTGCACGCCTGAGCCATATGCCCCTCACGACCGCAACGGAAGCACAAACGGCTGCGGTCGATTGAGGAGGGGCATCTGAGGCCAGCGTGACCCACTTGCAGGCACTTGAAGCACCTCATGGGGCGTGGCTCCAGCGGCTGCACACGCGCCGAGCTCCAGCCGACCAAGAGACGGCCGGCTTCTGCAAGGCACTTTGCTGCCGCAACCGGGCATTGCACCCACGAGGAGCCAGTGCCAAAGACACCGCGAGAGCGGATTGGGCCTACTCGTATCTGCTCTGTTGAGCATTTGCCCTGCTGGACGGACCTTTTAACCACTAGGCCACCACTGACTATATTATATTATATGATATAGATTAATAAATATTGTATATATGTAAGTATTAAATTACCTAATAAATAATGCGAGAAGCTTATGTATTCCAATATATCGGCCTCGCTGAACGGGTAGGGTTGGTCTTCATCAACATACTTGTACAGGGCCTCATTCATCCAATCTAACGCATTCTCATAATCCTTTTCGTTGTACAGAGCTTTACCAAGCTCGTAACAATCGCCGGCGCTCATTGGTGTACTGAAAAAAGTAATAATGTTAATATTATGATATTTTATTGTTTTAATTGAAATTTTATATAAAGGTTACTTTTCTCTGTGGAATTAAAATTTAGGCATTTAAATTCCTACTATCACCAAAAAGAAGTTAATGTAATAATTTCGAGATATTTCGTTTAAAACTATATAATTCTTAGACGTTTTATTTATCGTCTATTCATAGTTTTCGGTTCATAAGTGGATGAATTTTTGAAATTTGATATCATGAAATAAAATGTATCAATTTCTCAGAGGCTTCTTTTTAGTTTACTTAATTTAAATTTCAATCTTTGTGATATTTGAATTAAATATTAAACGGTAGTTATTTTAGAAGCAATCGTTATTACATATTATGTTAAACCTATATTAAAACTTAATATTTCTATTATAATCTGTATTAAAGTTTTAAATATACAGTTAGGAAACTCCTTGGTCAAGAAACAAAATAGAAGCAGAATTAGGAAACTCCTTGGAAAAGAAACAAAATAGAAGCAGTGCGCAAAAGAAACATCGACACTTTCTGGTGGTCCGTCGTCGAGGCAACATCGCTCATGGGTTTTCGACTATTAATATTGGTTTAGCAATTAGTCTAAGGCTATTTTAAGGATATTACTCTGTAAGTACTTTAATTGTTGTTTAATTGGAGTTAGCAGGTTATCATTTCATTCCTTTATTTACCTTTTATATTTGTTCATTTTAATTAATATCGCATAGTCAAATTGTCAAATGTCTTACTGTTATTTTATTTTTAAAAATCCGAACGAAGTTCCCTAATATACATATTATCTTTATGATTAGTTACAATCACGATTAATATATATAAATATAGTTTTTTAACACACAAGATATAAAGCTTATAAATCAACTGCTAAATCGTACCTATATTCATAAAACACATTGACATAATATGCCATCGAATTTAAATAATAAATTAAATTAAAAGTTTTCCCGCCATCATAATATTTTATGTCCTTAGCATTCCACTCGCAACCAAAATCTTAAAAAGGTCAAAGAACTGATATCAGTACATTTTTCTTTTAAAAAGAAGTCGAATTTGAAATAAAACCAGTACAGTATAACGGCGTTCAAAAGACAAAATAAATACGGAGCCCTTTCAAAATTTTATCAAAGCAAATTTATTTTCTTTACACCCAAGATACAGACAGATAGGTGTGCATATAAATTACGACATTACAAATACATTATATGAAAATGCATTTACGTACTTCAAACATAATCCCGCCAATTTTATACAGATTATATTATAATAATTGTACTTCACACAGATAATGTATATCGGTAATGGGATTTATACATATATATAGAAATACATTATACAGGGTGACTGGTGAATTACTATCAATATTTAAGGAGCATACTCGGTACATGATTCTCATTCGAATTATGTAAAAAAATAGGTACTTAATTTTTGACCAAATTTCCGTATAAATAAATAAAGTGTGTACACGTTCCAAGTGTTCCAAGTGTGGACGCGTGCGGCAGCGTGCTGATGCAACAACACGCCGCCGCGCGCGTATGTGTGAGTGTGTGTGTATACCTAATCTGTAGGGTGTTCATACGATGCGTAATTAATTACATAACTTTTGGTTAACTTTACTTAGAAGTTTATTAATATTTATGTTATATTAATTTTTATTTTGTCATATATGATCGTCAAATATCACGTCCTCAAATATCGATAGTAATTCACCAGTCACCCTGTATATATGAAAATGCACTTGAGTACTTCAAACTTATTCCCGCCTTTTTTGTACAGATTATAAAATAATTGCATTTCACACAGATAACGTATATCGGTAATGGGATGTACATATTATATAGAAATACATTATATGAAAATGCACTTAAGTACTTCAAACTTATTCCCGCCAATTTTTGCATAGACTATACAATATTTATATTTCACACAGATAATATAAGTATATATACATATAATGTTACCTGTAAACAACTCCATTAAGTCTCCCCTCTGACAGGTCTTTGACCTCTAGTTTGTACGTCTGTTGCAATCTCGTCAGCGCCTGCGCAGCTCCCGTTAAATCCTCCAAAGTTGGATATTTGACGTTCGCGTGATTATTTATAATTGTTATGTTTTTAATATATTCTAAAACAAAAAGTATATATTAATTATCAATGTGTATTAACGAAATCATCGTAAAGAATAATTATTTTAATGAATTTTTAAATTTAATATGTGACTTTAATATCAAGATCGAGACCATTTATTCGATTCCATTATTTTAATAGACACATAAATGTATCTACACATATGTGTATGTGTGTATTTAATACTGCTACTCGGTATACAAATAATATTTTATATTTTAAATATTCATTTGTATGCAAAATGTAAATTATATTTTAACATTTATTTTATTAATAGGTATTTTTGTATTGAGTCACCGTTATTTTTATTTATACCTAAACGGATATTGCATTATGCAGTTTTTCAAATGGCAACATAATAGTGTTTTTTTTATTATGCATATTAAATTAATTAATGTATTGAGATGTTTATGGAAATATGAACGTTTGAGGAAATATTTAATAACCATTTTACGGCTGCATTAAGTACATGATGATCAAATATTTTTATTGTTCAATGTTCATAATTCATTACCAATGTTAACAAATTTTAACACAAGTAAAACCTTTTTGTTTTTCAAGAGAGTATTTTTACCTTTTTTATCTTTAGATGGGTATTTTAACAAATGTTCGTGATCGGAGTACGAAATTAAGAAATCAGGTTTCTTTTTATTGTTGAAAAATTTTGTTTTGTTTTAAACCTTTTTTCCTCATAAATGTTTTATGAACCGTGTTAAAAATTGTTTATATGCATAAAAAGATAATATATTTTATTTTTATTTATAAACAATGAAATTACTCAAACTTTTTAACTTTACATAATAAATAGGCTTGCAACGAATAGTACCTATTCGGCATTCTGACCGAATAGCCGAATAGTAGGCAAAATTATTCTGAAAGATTTTAGCTCCAACACTTGTACATACTAGATTGTTACATATAATAAGATTTTGTAATAATGACTCCTTAAATTATTAATAGGGAATTTAAAAGATCGACTTATAGGTATCTATTTTTTATGTCATCATTTATCTTCCTATAACAAAATATATTATTTAATTATTCGATGTCAAGGGCGAATAATTTGTAAATATACTTTATGAGACCGAATATAATAAAAGCAGCTGAATAAGGCGAATATCGAATAGTAAACGAATATTCGTTGCAAGCATAGTAATAAATCATCAAACTTTTATAATTTAATAGTTAACGACTAGGGCATCAAATTATTGGTTAAGCAAGAAAATTTGTTAGCAATTTTTGACTATTTTTTAATAGAACATCATAATAAACTAAAAATGGAGGACAATTCCTATCACTGTGTGAAGAAAAATAACTACGTCTTATTTAATTATAAAAAAGCCTTAGCATTAATTGACATTTTACGATTATACTCTCCCGAGTGAGAAGTTCAATCAGGTAATTAGACACTAACAATGTCTTCCAAAATTCATTACTATGGATAAAAGCGGATACATAAACTGAACCGATATAAAACACACACATATACAATAATTGTAAATACAAATTTCATGAAAATCGGTCAAGCTGTTATATAGTATGACAGCTGTCATTGTGTAAAAATCATTATGTACATAATTTTATTTATTATACACACTTGCAAGACCATGTTGTGACATTATTTACATGACAGGAGGCAAAGGTTTAAAACATACAGCCGTGATGACGTCACTACACAAACCTTTAAATAGCTTAGAAATAAAATATTAAATAACTACACTATATAAAAAAATATATTTTTAACATACCAGTGCCTATTTCAATACTCTTCTCAATGTCGTCCAAATCTATGGTCAATCTCTTTATCAGAGTAAACGCGTTTATAGGATTCCCAAGGTAGTTAGGTATGTCTTCCATAGCTTGCTCATGTTCCCGCCTATATATAACCAGGTGTCTGAAAATATACAACATATACTATAATAATAATATAAAATTATTACATAGTGTGTACCAAGCTTTATAGTCAAGGACGTTTAGTTAACGTGATGAAACATTTTCAAACGAAACAGATGAGCGTCTATTTGACAAATTTAAGTAGCGTTTATATGCTAAGTGTCAATGATTATACATATATTATGTTTTGATGATTCGTCTAAACAAGATTACTACATGTTTACGCTAACCGAAATTCCCGCTATATTAAAAGTAACGTTACACCTTAAAAATTATCGTAAATATTCGTTGGGTATGACAAGTGAATTGATTTAATAAAAGTAATCCATAATAAATGACAAATGGATAAAATAAACATATAATATATTCGTTTAAGACATATCCCTACTAATATTATAAATGCGAAAGTAACTCTGTCTGTCTGTTACGCTTTCACGCCTAAACCACAGAACTGATTTTAATGACATTTGGTAGAGATATGGAGTTGACCTTGAGAAAGAAGATAGGATAGTTTTTATCCCAGACTTTTGAAAGGTTCTCTTGGAAACGCGATATAACCGAACTCCACGCTGGCGAAGCTGCGGGCGGGAAGCTAGTTTCTAATAATTGAATGTAAATACAAGTAATGGTGACATTCGATTGTGAATGTATTGTACAATAGCTGTACGCGATATGCCAAATGTCTAAACGCTTAGGACGAGATTACATCGTCACACTACACAGAAAATTCACAGTAATTCATTCATAAATACACGTTATATTAACGTAGGTCATTGTATCATGCATTCGAACCGGGAAACTATTCGTTTGCAGTGTAACTATGCAAACTCGTGTTAAGAACTCTCCTATCCATTCATTTGATCGATGTTATAAATGTGTTTTTTTAAGTCGATAGGGTTATTAATTCATAATTTTAATTCCTATCGTAAACGAAGAAACAAAATTAATATTACTGGCAACAAAAAAAAACAAATACTTAAACAACGACTAAACTTTTTATACCATCGAAAAATGCAAATTACTAAATCAATTTATCTGCATTATAAACAACCGGCAATTTGGGGTAATAAATGTAACTTTATTGGCGAGGCATCATTAAACAAATAATTGTATTAAAACATATAAAACTTTACCTTTTCAACGCCTGCAACCTGTCCTCTTCCTTTTTTATGTAATCTTCTAAATCATCGATGATCTTTTTATGTGTTTCCAATAGCGGTTCAACATCCGATATAGCAGTGAATAACTCTCCATGTGATATTGTCATAAGGTTCAATAATATTGATAATAAACAAAAAATCTTAACTCGATACATTTTGTCTGAAACAAATAGGTTTAAATTAATCATGTTGTAATTATTACGGATTTTTAAATGTACGACTATCGTTGCGAACGTAATTACGAGACAAGACAATCTATAAGATATTTGTATTGAAAATATTATTATTTATAATACTATATTTGAATTGAAAAATGTAGGCAGACCCTGGCTCTGGCAGACCCTGCCTATGGCTATAGCTGGGAAATTACCAGGTAGAAGAAGATTTGAATTGGAAAATGTTCTAGCAATAAACACTAGAGATACGTGTTTCTAGATTCTATTTCTATATATACATCTTAGAAGATATGTTCGACACAATTATGTTCCAGAATGTGCTTAGAAACAACTTATAAATAGATAATGCTTAAAAGTCTAAAAGGAAATAATCTACATACGATAACAAAAGTTATGAATAATGATGATAACAATTACGCGCTTTAAAGTTCCATAAATTTCTACACAGACGCGTCGCACTGATATATAGGACAAATCACTTGTAACACTTTTAAATTAAATCTATTTACGACTAACAAGTCGAATTCAAAATCCTAATAATAAATTTTGATTGATTTAAAAAGTGAATTTTGAATAAATAAAATACACAGTACATTTAAACAATTAAAAAAAATCAATTAATTTTATTTCCTTTAAATAGTTAGAATTTATAACCTATCTATTAATTCAAAACAAAAATGTTAAAATATACAGTTATGATGAAGAATGTATAAAACTAATTTAGTTAATATATTTATTCATAGACTTTTGATTAAAATACGATGTAATAAATCAAACGGATATATGAATCACCAATTTCTAGCTTACAATAATTTATTTATAGTAATTTTATAGTATCCAATAATCATAACACAAATTGGAGAGCAAGACAGTAGCTAAAACACATTTGTAATTACTAATAATTTAGTAAATGGAATATATTAAAAACATACCCAATTAGCGACGGTTATTACTTTAAACTTTTCTGTTTCACTAATTATATATATAAAAATCCATTAATTGATTTCGCAGCACTATTTGTTTGTTACAAAGCTGTCACCATCCGGCCATGTAGGAGGAACATATAATACTACGTGCGCCGGCTCAGATCGGGTCAACGGACAAATTAAAACGCTCCCAAGCCGACATACACAGACCTTATCGTGCATTGGTTTATAATATATATAATAATAACGTTTTTTCTATACATTTCGTTATGACACTTAAATGTGACGCTTTTTTTAAATCCATGACACACAGTACGTCATTTCGTATTCGGCTAGAATGTCACAGATACCGTATTATCCTTGGAACCGGATTTTAAATAATTCTGATACTGTATTTTTTATAGTCAGAATAACAGAACTTTTTCGATACGATCAATTTAGTGTAATTTATTAATATTGATATAATATTTAGACTTAGATTTGTCATTATGATCTCTAAATTGAAAGTGAAGTAACGTTTTCTTGTTGATTAATATATTATTTTAGGTATGAAAATGAGCGTCTTTATTTAAAATTTAACCGGTAAAAACTAATACAATTGTGTAATTGCCTTAAATTATTTTACATTTACTTTCAATGCTATTGAGATCTATATTCTCATATAAAGATAATTAGTTTTAAAATAAAAATGATTATCTTAATTCATTATAATTTAGATTATGAATATTTTCAATGCAGTAAAATAAAATCTAAGTAGAGAAACAAGACTATATACATATAAAATCAGTTGAAGGCGTTACTTATTTTTTGTTTCTATTGTATGTAAAATAAAATAAATTTTACATTTGCATACAGGTTAAAACAACTTTTCGTTTTCAACTTTACCGCAGTGGATCCTAAACTTTTGAATTAATAACCAAAATAGAATCTTATAAAATATTTAGGTCGATTATAAAATCAGTTTTTATAATCAATAGCGCAATGGGTACGCAAAAATATACATAATAGTATTGAAGAAGAGTTAAAAAAATCACGACATCACGGAAAGATAAAAAAGTTGTGAATAAATTTTTATTTAACTTATTTTTTCATTTTGAATCATTCTAGTTATTTATTGTCATATAATAATTACTGATTTAGAACATTGTGTTTTAGAATTTGATAGATGTTAAAAACACACGTATGAAATGAGTTAAGATAATATCAAAGAACAATGTACTTATCCCATGAAGGAACTAGTAGGTAGAAGAATAAAAGTTAGTAGAAATATTTAGTAGTTACGTTATTTAAACATTCATTAGAGTTCTAGATATCATACGTGAAGTGGTCTTTCGGTAGCCAGAGCACGAAAAGAAGTAACATTAAACGAGCGATTAAAAATTTTTGTGAGAGAAGGCATGAGGGCTAAAAAATAATACGTCAATACTTACTCTATCCTAAAAGCGGCTGCGACTTGGACTATAATTATTGACACGTATGAGAAACAATATAAAATCACAGAGGATATTTATGAGCCGGCATCCGGACTTATAGTTTCACAATTATAAGTTTGAAATCACCAACCCGTCTTGAGCAAGCGTGGTGATTAATGCTCAAAACCTTCTCCATGTGAGAAGAGGCTATGCTCAGCAGTGGGCGTTGATAGGCTGATGACATCCAGACCAGACATATTTCTGTATTCGCGAATTTTAAAGCGCGTTGTGTGAATAGAGCTTACGGTTGCTTGGAAAACTAAAATCCCCAAACACCATGACATCAAGGTCAATAGTTTTACAAACTCGTTAATAAACTCACTAAGAATAGGTTCGTCGTAAATTTGTACGCGGTAGAGGTGGGAGCGAGAGATATAATAACTATTTCTCTACAACCTACTAAAAGACTTGGACCTGTCCAGAACTAACATGAATTCATTCTAAGAACATACTAGTAGGATTGTTTCAAGTTTGTTTAGGTAGGGAGAGGAGGTTGGACGGCGGAAGTGAGCGTTTAACGTATGCATGAAATAGGGGCCCTTCAAACCAACAGGGGGACTAAGACACTGTTGAAGCTCTTCTCCCTGCAAAGCGATTTATCAAGCACCCAAATGGTGAATTCATGATATGCTGAAAAGTTTAGTCTCATTGTGTGTTAGAAAAATTATTAGATTTTTTTTTTGTTTATCATACTATGGTTTCTTTTTATTGCATTCTGTATAATTTTTTTGCGAAAACATGCAATTTTCTACTTCTTATGTATAGTGATTCAATGGAATGATGAAAGAGTGCCCATGGATTTTATATAAAGAGCTCTAATTACATTATAATTGGCAGTATTTCCATGCTTGATGTTTATCACAACATGATAGTGTTTGTTGTATAATATTTAAGGTGTCATATTTAGTTTTTATATTAAGTTATGCAATAAAAAAATATATGTTGGCAGAAAAAAATTACAGAAAACTCTTTTTATATAAAAAGTTAAAAAATTTAAAACATATACAGACAGATTATTGATATATGAATAGTTTTTAACTGTAGTTGTTATTTTCAGTTGAGTATTATGTACAAACAGTAGATAGATAGTAGATTTTTTGTAATGTCAGTAATAAGTGTGAATTTTTAAAACATCTTGTTTGCATACAACTTGCAGTATTTATATTGTCAGATTATTTATAACTTTAAAATTAATATTCTTATAAACATTAAATTTATTCTCATTACTTTTCTTTTGGAATTTAGCAAAAAAAGTTAAAAAATAGTTAAGGAAATAGAGAATCCATATAAAATAGTTTTATGGCATAACTTCACAAGTTAGTATGTGCCAGTAAGGAAGAAACTTTAGAACAAAAGAAAATTTATACAAGATAATATAGAAGTTACCCCATTACCCAAAAATGAATTCCAAATAAGTAATAGTTTTTGATTAAACTTTTTTAATGAGTTAATGTTATAGCTAGATCCTTTAGATGTGAATATAAGATGCGAATTTTCTCACAAATATATATCATAAAATTATTAATAATTTGTGTATCTACAATTATGCAAAGTTGTTAGTATCTATTTTAAAAATATTATACTCACAAATCAAAGTTTTCAGAAATTATATTTATGCAAAATACCAGCTTTTCGAAGCGTGCTAATTTACATATGCATTTAAATCTGTGTATCTTCCCCGTATCATAGTCTAAAAACACTTCCGTTAAATATTCATAGCCACAATTTCTAATTCCTATGTTATTTTGATATCGATTGTAACAATGACAGATGCTTTCCGTTCAGGAACTGACAAATATATCATTTTCACAGTCAAACACAACTATGTAAAATATGTTAAAAATACTTATGATTATACGTTAAGGCTTTGCAAAAATAAATTAACATTGAAATTTATTGAATTATTACATGATTTAACATATAAAAATTATTATATTTTGAGACTATGCAATCAAGTGGTTTAGTTTTCCTTTTAATCGTTATCTTATAAAGAGAAAAAGGTGCCAATGCTTGGAAACAAATCTAGAAAATATGAGATTTAAGTATTTCAATTCCTGATTAGTTCATTATTAATGAATTATATATTTTATTTTTGAACTGTAATCTTTACTCCGTAACAGATCTACATGTTTTGACTTTTTAAATGACGTTTAAACAACCACACATGTTTTTGAATTAAATTTGCTTTTATTTTGAAATACCTAAATGAAATATGTCCAACTTGAAAATTAAAGTAATAAGTCGTAACCCAGAAGATTATCTCCGTTCCACTAAAAGAGATATTCATAAAAGTAAGAAAAATATATGTTTTTTGTAATATTGTATTATTGTTTTTAATAAATATAACCTCTCTCTTAGTTCCTAGGAATTATGACCCGAGTCTGCATCCCCTTGAGGGTCCACGGGAGTATGTCAGAGCATTAAATGCGGTGAAACTAGAGAGAGTATTTGCGAAGCCTTTTCTCGGCAGTCTTGATGGTCACTCAGATGGCGTATCCAGTTTGGGCAAGCATCCTAGCCGATTATCCGTTTTGGCCAGTGGAGCTTTTGACGGTGAGATCAGAATATGGGACTTAACAAGTCGTAAATGTACGAGAAATTTCATTGCACATGAAGGATGGGTTCGCGCTATTTGCTACACACCAAATGGTCAACAGTTCATGAGTGTTGGTGATGACAAAACAATTAAGACTTGGAAAGCTGAGATTCAAGATCCCGATGACGAAGATCCTGTTAATACACTTCTCAGTATGTCAGTTGTATCTGGCATCAGCCATCACAGAGCAAAACCAATATTTGCTACTTGCGGCGAACACTGTCAGTTGTGGGAAAATACTAGGAGTGAACCTATCAAAGTATTTCAATGGGGAGTAGACAGCCTGCATCATGTTGCATTTAATCAGGTATAATAAATTATTTATTATTATTTCCATATTTGGTCAATCTAATACATAATGAGATCTAAGATTTTACAAGTCTTATTCATTCAAATAAAAATAATATTTTTCGGATATACTTATACCTTTTGCTGCTGAAAACTAAGTGAAACATGGGGAGTATGTAGCTTTTATCAAAAATAAAGTTGCATATATAGTATATCAAAAAAATATTAGTTTCATTTAAATAATCTAATAGAATTGAAATTAATCTGTGATAAGCATGTTTATATTCTCATAGAATTTTGAATTAAAATTGCAGTATTTATGTATATATTTTAAATATTTGTTCTCAACAATTTTTCAGGTAGAAACTAATCTGTTAGCAGCATGTGCGAGTGATAGGAGCGTTATACTTTATGACTTCCGTGAGTCAGGTCCTCTTAGAAAAGTAGTGATGGAACTGAGATCAAATGCACTGTCTTGGAATCCCATGGAGGCATATATATTTACTGTAGCTAATGAAGACTATAAGTAAGTGGTCTAAAATTATGTTTTTAGAAATATTATTCATATAAAAAGTATGTCAAATAAACTACACTAAAATCTTTTTATTCACGGGGTATATGTTCCTTTAATATGCTGCAAATACAGAAACTGTGCCTATTAAATGGTAATTTATATGGTTTATAGGAGACATCTTCCTAGTTAGCACAATAAAAAAAAGAAGTTAATAAGAAAATCACTTTTATTAAAATTTTTGGGAATTTGGATTTATCATTATCCTCGGGCTTAGGCAATGGTTTGAAGAATTTTGTTATTTCTCTTACTTGGCAGTTTTTCATAGCTCCCATTTAGACTGATATCCAACAGACACAGCATTTTGTCTTTTAAAATTAAGACTTCATTTCATAGCTGGATCAATGTTCATTATGAAATTGCAGCTTATTTTGCCATTTCTATAATAGGTTAATTTAATTATTTAAATTATATAATATTTAAATTATATATAAATATATATAATTATATAACTAAATAATAAATTAATGATACAATTAATTAAGTGTTACGTACAGCACAAAAACCTGCCAAGTTCAAATTTAGAAGTATTATAATTTTAGATGTTTTTAACGAAGCACCTACGTATTTTCACAACTATACCATATTTTAAGTTGGGTGTATGGTAAAGTGAGTTTCGGCCAGATGGACCGTTGACGTGAATAAGGTGGCGGGTAGTGGCTGGATGTGGAAGGCAGAGGACTGGGTGTGGTGGCGAGTCTTGGGAATGGCAAATGTTTACCAGTGGATCATGCTGTTGATGAAGATGATTATGATCGATTTCAAAGTGCATCTAAACTTGGCATTAGATTGGATTTCACCCCTTTTTTAGGCAAACAATTAGCCGATTGGAACTTGGCCCCCTTTTTAACAGGCATGTTTTTGGTGAGATTTGTTTTACAGTAAATGTCACATTTCAAGTATTGGTTTGCAACCTCTTTTTCAATAAGCTGTGAATTAAAAATTTCCTTCAAGTCGGTTTCAGTCAAATTTTCTTCTGTTATTCAAGCAATTCCCGATTGTCACTTGATTCTATCTGTTCAAACCAATCTCGTCCTATTTCATTCGCAATTTCGGCTATGTTTACCGTCAAAGTTTGAACTTGCAAGGATTCTTCGTCATTTTCCGGTAGTCAGGGCAGGCCATAGTTCAATCAGGATGGCTTTTATGTGTGTGGTTCTTCTTCCAATGATTCATTTATGTTTACGATGCATTTGCTTGTCATATTTCTTCCAGCACTTCATCAACTTTCTTTCTATTTGTTTACATTAAAAAAAAACGGACCGACCGGTGTTGTAGGCCCAGGCGACAAAGGCGGCTTAAAGTGCTCGGCGGCATAAAAGATATTCCGTTAGACATCTATTGGAACTTTGTATGAACTTTTAGACCCGCGAATTGGGTAGCATTTTTTTAATCCGCGATTAGTGAAAACGCGAATAGGGAGTTTTTGCTGATCAAAATATATGTTCCTTTTATTGCTTCTAACTTAGACTAAATGTCTGTAAATTGTTAATAATTGTTTTTATTTGTCGCAGTATTATTATAGACATCTCAGGGTATTTATATCTTGTTTATTAACAAGAACTTGACCAAAACAGCTTTATCTATATTTATCTACTCACTCACATACATCAAGATGTGAAAAGACTTAATGTACTATGATCCTTAAATTATTCTAACTTATATGAAAGTAAAGAATTATATTGTAATAAGTATAACAGTATGGTAATAATTCTATTTCAGCCTATACACATTCGACATCAGAAAACTAAGACAACCAGTGAATGTTCATGTCGACCACACATCCGCAGTAATTGATGTGGATTATGCACCGACTGGAAGAGAATTTGTTGCTGGTAGCTACGATAAGACTGTTAGGATATTTGAGAGTCTTAAAGGACACTCCAGAGATGTTTATCATACAAAGAGAATGCAGAGATTGACTTGTGTTAAATGGACATTGGATAATAAATATATTTTGACCGGTTCAGATGAAATGAATATAAGAATGTGGAAGGCTAGAGCTTCAGAAAAACTTGGTGTTGTGAGTACTATTCTAATACTTAAATGAATATCTATTTAATTTATAAGCACATAATGCAAGTATGTACTTAGTACTAGGTTCTTATAAAAATCTTCAGGCATTAACAATTTAACTAAGTAATTTTCTTGACTATTTGTTTTGTTGTTTATATATACAAAATATTAATTGACAAAATATGTTTATATAAATAATATGGTGATACTTTCAGCTCAAACCTCGAGAACGTACAGCTCTTAATTATTCAGAAGCTTTGAAGGAGAAATTCAGTGGACATCCACAAATAAAACGTATAGCACGTCACAGGCATGTACCGAAACATATATTGAACGCTCAGAAAGAACTTCGTACTATCAAAGAGAAGAACAAACGTAAAGAAGGCAACAAACGCTCCCACAGCAAACCTGGTTCTGTGCCATTTGTACCTGAACGTAAAAAGCATGTCGTTAAAGAAGATGAGTGATCACACGATTTGTTCTAATAAACCTTTGTGCAAAATAAATCTTTTTCATATATTTGTATTTATTATAATTTTACGTTACGTTATACATAGTGGAAGGTGTCTAATGAAATGAGGTGTATTTAAATTAAATCTTTGGGGCACATCAACCTATTTTAAGTCTAAATAGGAAATTATGGATAGACGAAATTTTATTAAACCGAACGTTTTATTTTAATGGTTTATTTATATCTGTGATATAAATGTGTGCTAGAAATTTAATATCATAATTATTCAAAAAAAATATTTTTACGGTCAGGTTTGCATGCTATGCCGCGTGTATTGCGCTTTATAGTCCGTTAGGCCTCGGCCTCGAATTTTGCGGGCAGCGGAACGGCAGCGGGAGCAGCAGGATCTTACGCATATAATCAAATGGACCGACCCTCGAATACAGCGGTGCCCGCTGCCCGCTAGTTTGGAGAACAGTATGCGTTGCCGTGCCGCCGCCGCCGCCGCCGCCGCTCCGCTGCCCGCAAAATTCGAGGCCGAGGCCTTAGACTTAAGCTGAGCTTTCCATTTGCGTGAGGGAAAGTAAAAGTAGAGTTAGACAAAAAACTTTTAGAATTCAATTTTATTACATTTTATATAGATATATAAGTGCTAAAGCTATTCTAGATTAAAAATAAAATAAGCAAAATATGTTAAAGGCCAGATGGAAATAGTATGGAAAAAAAAATAAAAAAAATCTATACAAATTCTTCTTCACGTGACATTACGTTTTCAACATTTGAAGTTGCTATCAGTACAAAGGGTGAAATACGGAAGGTGCGGGGCTGAGTAAAAGCAGTATAAACCGGTTCAAAACTGGAAAAGAACGTTACATTCGTGGAATGATCTTCCGCCCGAGGCTTTTCCAGAGAGCTACAACATGGGGTCTTTCAAAAAGCAAGTGTTCAGGCTCCTTTTCAAACAAGGCCGGCAACGCATCAACAACACCCCTTGTGTTGCAGATGTCCATGGGCGACGGTAACTACTTACCACCAGGTAGGCCGTCTGCTCGCTTGCCCCTTAGGCCCATAAAAAAAAATTCAAAAATTTCAGTTCACCCCTACACTATCCGTGTGCACTCATACAAATGCAAAGCTCAACTTAAATCAAACGCACTATACGACGAGCCTTTTGCTTTTTGATAGGTGACGAAAAATATTTATGAGACCAAATAAATTAAATTTTTAAGTAAAAAAACAACAGACTACTTTCAAATAAAAGGATATTATTGTTTATATATTTTATTTAAGTGTAAAATAAATAATAAAATCTAGTTAAAAGCACATTTGTACTAAATTCTATTTTTAAAAGACTAACAGAACATCGACAATCCTAATGATTGTCGATGTTAAATAAAATATTTTGGCAAACGAAATGTTAAAGGTGAAGTTGAAATTAATAAAACATAAGTAGGATATTTTAAATTTTATGTACAATTGTTTTGGACTTCCTATTTATTATCTGCTAATTAAAATTTCAAGGAAGTTTTTAAAAGAATACTGTTATTGGTATGTTTTATTTCGGAAGACTTATTTCACACTATAAATCTAAAAGTTTGAATAATAAAAAGCTATGGTAAAGAGACATGGCTTTCTAGAAAGCTATTATAGAATACACAAAAAAACGTAGTTTTCAAACATTGACTACATCAAAGAGGCATAATATTTGTAATTTTTACAGTGACATCTGTGTGAATTATAAATGATATATAATTTATTAAAACAAACATATAGAATACTGTCTATTGTGAAAAAGATTCATAACATATCACAGAATTGAAACAATAACTGTAATTTGAATTAATTTACTAGTTTTTATCATGAGCATTAAATATCAATACTACTTAAAAAAAATATTCAAGTATTAATTTAAATTTTAAATGGTAACTGGATGAATTGAGAAATATGTACTAGTTAGAGAAAATTGTAGATTTTTTAGATTAGCTGTTTTTGAAGAACTTAAATATTATCTTTAATATAAAATAATAAGAATAAGAATACATTGGAAATAACTGACAATTTTGGAGTACATTTTCTTGACATTACACAAAAAATCTGGTAAAATTTCACACATTAATTGTATTTAACCGGCATGGTTTATTGGCCTGCTGATTCGATTTGGTGTTGTCATCGTTTTTATATCCATTCTGAAAAATATTGAAAATGCTTTTATTATATTTAGTTATTAGCTGACCCGGCAAACATTGTTTTGCCATAAAAAACCCTTGAGTTGCTGATAAAAAGGTTAAAAAATTAGGGTTGTATGTATTTCTTAATATCTTTTTTTTAAAAGCAAAAGATATTAAAATAATATCTAAAAATGAAAGAAAAATGTTAAGGGCGGAGAACCCTTATTACTAAGGGGTATGAGAAATAGATGTTGTCAGATTCTCAAACCTACTCAGTAAGCTCACAAAATTTCGTCAGAATTGGTCAAGCCGTTTTGGTGTATGGAAATGAACATTGTGACACAAGAATTTTTAAAATTATGCAAATAACATGAAATAAATAATTTTGCCTTACAAGACGTTGTTGTTTAGTCAATTTTATAATATAATACCGTTTTACTTACATTATATGTCGTGGTAGTGAGTAATAGTCCAGATTATATTCTAACACACAAAGTATGCTAAGTGTTTTCAGTGTTGGTGCATAATCCAGTACATGGAGGTCACTGTTATCCACTAATCTTTCAGGATTATCATCGTTTTCATCTATTGGCCTATTATTATTGTGTGTGCAAGGGCTGAAAATATGAGCATTAATAAATGTTGCAATATATTGAATATAAATATAATTAGATTTGTAGTTATATATTGGGATGCCTCACCTTGTACCACCAAAAAGATAAACTTTATCTTTATATATTAGACAAGCCTGACGTCTCCGCTTGCATGGTCTAGTGCCATGAACATTCAGGTATTCCCAATAATTATCTTTTATTGAGTATCTATACAGATCATTAAAATGAGTCTTTGTTTTGGCATTTAAACCGCCAAAAATGTACATAAAATCTTTATATATCCCTGAAAAATATGTAAGTATTTAAATATTGTTATTTATATAAAAAATCCATTTATAACTCACTAAATTTTATAATTTTTACATACATGAAGAATGGCTTCTTCTGGCTTCAGGACAAGTGCCTTTGGCGTTCATGTTACACCAAGTTTCTTTTTCTATATCTAAACAATAAACATGCGGACAGTAAATTTCTTCTTCGGAATTATAAGGGCTGTTTAAATCACCTCTGCCACCAAACACATACATTTTGTTTTCATATGCAACAGCAGTGTGAAAATCTCTATAACAGGGCGGAGAGCCGTGGGTGTTAATGAATCTCCACACCATAGTATCTAAATCTAAGCAATGCACGTCTTGTGAATATTGATCTGTTAGATATTCAAATCCCCCAAATATATACATTTTGTTTTTAATAATGCAGGCTGAATGGCCGTCCTTTGCATATGGGACCATGCCTCCCACTTGAGGTGTACTCCACTCCAGTTTCTTTGTATCGAAACATGATAGAGTGTCACATGCAACAGCATTATTTCGACCTCCCCACATGTAAACCTATGAATATCAAAATTAATTTTTATGTTTTATCACACTTACAAACATTAACAAAAGAATATATAAGCTAGTAATCGTCAAATAGCGTCAGTGATTTTAGAATAATTGTTATAAAAATTCAAACCTTATGTCCATATGCAACTGCAGTGTGCCCATACCGTTGAAATGGTACAACTTCATCTTTATTATAATTAACAGGAGCCCATCTTAATGTTGATGTGTCTAATACATGGACTGGAATGGGCTCCCAATCTTTATAGTCTTCTGTAGAACAATATCCGCCAAAAGAGTATATTTTATCTTCAATACACACAGCCGCATGATTAACTCTCCTGGGTCCACCTTCTATGTGGACTGTCCACCTCATCCTTATAAACTAAAAGATATTATTCATTATAGGCTTTATAAAAATAAAAAAAACATTTCGGAATTAGAAATGTACTTTTCCGATTTGGCTTTTTATAAGCAAGAAATGATCTTGTCACTCCGGTTACGATAAACACCTAAAAAGTCACTGGTTTAAAGATTAATACTTATTGCAATAGTTATCAAAGATGGAAAGCTTTAGTTATAAATACCAAATAAAAATCAAATTTTCACATCAGATCTACAATTATAGTGTTTCAACTTTTGACTTTGAAGTTTGAAGTTCGAGTCGCTTTTAATTTCCACTGTCAATGTCAGTGGTTGGAGGAAGCTCACCAGGACTGAAAATAATTTATTTTAATTATGTAGATTAAATCACTTTTGAACGAATTATGTAACAATGGTGACTACAGTTAATTCTTTTAAATGAGATTATTTTTTAACTCTCGAAGATCACGAAACAATTTTGTTATCATTTTTGTAATAAAAAAGGTTGAATGCTTTTTGACCTAGACATCAGCGTCTTTTAAAATTTTCACAATTCATGATAAGTGAAGTAAATGTTATAAAACTTTATGACTTTACTAAGTATGTATATCATAACGTTATTGGTACATAATCTAAATGACTATACTATAATTTATATAAAAACACAATTAATCTTTTGTTGTTACTAAAATTTTGATTGTATTAATTGTGATAACTATTTCCCGGCCATCATACTATAATTCACCATTTTGTTTGTATGTACGTGTTTTTTTCTGGCATCATGGTAACAAAATTACGGATTGAACTTTTACAAAGTAGGATGTACATTCTTAATAATAAATGAACTAACATATGTATTTGTAATGTTAGTAATGTTTTAGGAATGAGACTTTAGATCTCCTTTACATTCAGCTGTTTTGTTTCTTCTTACTTTTTTAACGGAACATTATCAATTTTGACTAAACGATACATTTCTAATTTATTTAATAAATCAAAACGGTTCATTTCGAGAAAGATATTAAAGAAACTTACTGGAGGTTTTTTAATCGTCAATTCTTACAAAGTACCGTGTAGCTAGATAGTAAATTGGTTTATTTTAATTACTTCAAACAAGGAAATTATAATTAATAAGACTTAATTACACGCGTGCTGCAATAATATATGCTGCGAATGTGAAAAGCTGAAGGTTTGTCAATATGTATTATGTACGAATTTATCGTTTACATTTTCCTTTAATATATTATTTAAATAACTCTACTACAAATTGTTATATTTTTTTATGGTTGGCAGAATACACACTTAGGCTTTATGAAAGAAACTGTTGAGTGTTTTTGTTTGAATAAATATTTTGTGTTTGTAAAAAATATGTATGAGAAATTTTGTAACTTTTTTTTTCGTATATTTTAAAGAGTATACGCAGTACATACCTATATATTGGCGAATATCGTTCCAGCCTAATATTTTTTCATCAGTAAGAGCAATAGGCGTGATCTTTCAACGCCAGGCGGTGTTAGGGCGAGAATCATTTGTTATTATTTCTATCACGCGCCGAGTTTCCAAACAAATTGTATTGTAACTGACAATATGAGCGATTATTGTTCGATTTGATACAAATGTTCACCGAAGCCATTTTTTATGTTTCAATTTTTCTGGGAGCTTCAACATTAGTCTACATCCACTAGAGTAATAAGAGCAAAGAAATTACGTACACCGTTTATTGCTAGCATTATCATTGTAATAGAATTTATCCAAAACAAGCCTTATCCTGGAGTTCATCAGCAGACAATGAAAAAATGAAATAAAATACTTCTTATCTTAGAAGATCTTCTTATCTTATAGAATCTTGGAATCATTTACAAATTATTACCAAAATATTTTTCAAGGAGTTCCAATCGCTACAGACGAGCAAATATTATAATAGAACCTTAATAGGTATCCGATATCATAAATCCTGTGCAGAAATTATCTTATACATTGTAAATGTATAAAAAGGGAGGCTTTACAGCCAAAATATATTTTTCTTCGTCCCCCCAAGCCACGGCGACGCGGTGACATGTCCTGACGTATAGAAAGCGCATTGCCTGTGACGGCCCATCTATAAATCATATTTTGGGATCGGCAATTGTCCATCCTCCCGTCTGCTTCGTGATTTTACTTTTACGTTTTTTGTCTGACTTCTAATCGAGCATCTATGATACGAGACATAGTTTCTATTCTAATATAATAATAAAATTACGTTGATTTAGAACATAGTATAGATTTTACTTCATTAAGTATGAATCCTTTTTTAATTTTCGTGAAAACCTATTAGCTTAAGAAGGGAAAAGTAACTAGTAGGTTTTAATTCAAAATTTTGCAAATATTATCTAAGTTCTAACGCTATGTAAATAATGTAAAATATATGTTAATATTTTTTCACTTAGTGACTTTATTGTGAATAAAATGTCTATATGTCAAACAACTAATTATAGTCTATGGTCAAATTTACCTTTGTTTAAAAAAATATATATACCTATTTAAAAAGTAATGTTATTCCGATATCATACTAAGACTTAAATCAAGACCCTCATATTTACGATCACCATTAAATTTCGAATCATATTTGAATAAGTGCAAAGTGAAGTGCTTATTTAGATAAGTTTCACGCACCAACCGTTAGTCTGTGCAATGGTAACATTTATCATCTGAATCCTATAAAAAGTAAACCGGAACTAATCCCATGCCCGTCTGAACTCCCCTAATCTGCATGCTCAAGGAAAGTTATTTCACGCTACAACATTTATAATATCATTGTTATGAAAACATCTTTATGTTTGTATTATTTTTTATATTATAAAATAATAATCAAATATTTTGAGGTTAAAACTTGATATTTTGACGTACCTATAATTGTTCGATAGATTAGTGTTAAGAGACACTATTTTTGGTTAAAATCGGTCAGTTTAGAACAGGCAGAGATCAAAGCCTATACAGCCATTACTATTTTGTTTTGTGTCTTTAATTATTTTTATATATCAGGCCGGAACCATGTGTTATTTTCCTCTTTCTATAAAATACATTTTCACTTGGAATATATGTCTCAAAGTTATATGCATTAGATTCATAGCTTTTGCGTAGCGATCTCATAAGATATGAGAATTTGAAAGCACATAAAGCGAGCAATGTGTCTAGTCGGTGCCTCGACGTTATTGATACACGGAAAAGATTTCTCTTTGATAGTTGTGGTTGATTTTGACGCCTTCACTATGTCAAAGAGATTGAAAAAGTATACGATATTTTATATTTTCGATTAAGTGCATTAAATATTATATTATATTTTTACAAAATTTAATTATAATTAATAATTCACTCGTCTGTTAAAACCTAACTCATTAGCAGTTCCATTATGATGTCGAAGGCACACATAACTGTACGTATTGAACATTCACCTTTATCACAATAGGTAGATTACCTGCTTTTCGAAAAGCCAGAAAATGAGGCGGATGCCAGATTTAGTAGTGATTATATCTCAGTTGCTGCATAACACAATTATGCATTAAAGGTGGAATTAACCAGATATCGACTATCGATATTGACATTGCAAGCACTTTGAATCAGATAAAGCGTAAAGTTGCCTATTCAGCGTCACATTTATTGATGGACTTTAGAAGTTTTCAATATTATGACTGCCTACTTTACATGTGATATGGATACTTTTATTACGATAACGCATTTGCCGCCTGGCGCGTGAACCGAGTTAACCCTCTACGAAAACGTGGGGTGTCATTTGACCTGTCAAAATGCATTGACAATAATATACAAATATTCATGCTAGTTTTTATTATCTGCATTTTTTTATTTTGCTATGTTCTATTGAAAATTAATACGATATAATATTTTTATTTCTTTAAGTAAATGATGTAACAATTTTTTTTTGTTGTTTTGATACGTTTTATCTTATACAACAAAATATTTTAACGACCAAAACAACCAAATAATTTATATCTTCTATAATATTTTCCGTTATCACATATATAATACAAATTTTATTCCACATGTTTCCAAATAATAAAGATCATTTAACCGGCCGAAATGTCTTCTTATCTGAACATATAGCTTTATTTTCCGTTGGAACCGTGTGTCATTTTTATGCGGCCACTTTTCGTCGATATATTCGATCTATTGTCGAAAAGGTGCTTTAAGGATAAGGGTCTTAATATACGATTATAGGTGGCACTCACTATTGTGCTTGACCTATTCGAAGAGTTATTACCATCATACTAACATAAGATACATGTATTATGTAGCAATTCAATTTTTATAACACAGATTATCTATATTAATAGTTAAATTTGAATGAATTATTTTAATAATATTAATTAGAATATCGCTATATATATTTATATATATGCGAGACTATAAAACTGTGAATTAATAGAAATTAGAGTTTTGGTAAATCTCGAGAGCTCTCAAAATATATGTAAAACCGAATAATAGATTATAAAGCCATCATATGCCAGTTCAAATAGCAACTTGTAAAAAAAATATCTTATCCGAAGAACACATAAAAAACAGACATCGTTTTTCTTTTAAAAAACTCTCTCATTTGCCTATCAATAGTGGTTTGAGCAGATCTGACCGTAATAAATGTCATACTTTATGACACTTAAGAAAATATGCAAGGGAACCATTTTTACATTTTTTAGGTGACCGGGGATCGCAATGTCGAATTACGCATTTCGGCCATTTCCTGTGGGCAATTTAAAATGTTTTATATCAACAATATTGCATCTCCGCATCAGATATAGTATTTATTCAATAACTTTTTAAAGAGCAGATATTTCAACGTATATTTTCCATTTTCTATTTATAGAGGTTGGATATTTCATATAAAAATTATTTTCCAAGTCGCGTTTATCAGATTATTTCGTTACGTTCATAATGTGATAAGATTAGGTACTCATGTGAAAGCAAAATATATGTACGTTGCTCCTATTTTAACTAAAATGCTTCAAAGCTTAGTCTGCTATTAAT